ATATATATATATATAAAGTACTCCATTAATATTTTTCAAATATTTAATATTTTTAATATTTGTATAGAAATATAATTAAATATCATCAACAACTTTCTCTTCAGTACTCCATGATTACCAGAAATTTATTTTCTTTTAAATTTTGGGACTATCCAGCACAGGGCAAGCAGATAACCAATAATTAGGAATTGGTGGTTCAAAAATAATATGATGGTCATAAATAACATTACTTAACTAATTTATCTTGGAAATAATTGCTTTGAAATTTAATGATCATACATTTTATATATTAAATTCCAACTTGTCTAACTCTCCTATTTTACAGTTTCACACAACACACACACATATATATATAACAACAGCTAGACAGAAAACAGAGCTGATAATCAACCACATAGAATATACTATAGTAAGTCAGTTGGACAAAATACAAGAAAATCAGCTTAACAAAACATCACCAAATAGAACATAAACAGAAGCTAGATAGAAAGGTTATCATATAAAGATAAGTTAAGATCTCTGAATTTGTTTTCTCTTGAAAAAAGAAGAGTTAGAGGGGATCTGATTGAAGTGTTTAAGATTGTTAATGGAATTGATAGTGTTGATGTATCATCTTTTTTTCATACTTAATGGTGATAATGGTAAAAGTAGGGGGACACAAATATAGATTTGGGCAGGAAAGAAGTCATCTTTAGCTAAAGACAGCTTTATTTTTCTAATAGATGGTTGACCTCTAGAACAGGTTGCCTTAGGCATAGTGGATGCAGTTAATTTAAGAGAGTTTAAGGGAAAGCTTGATAAATATTTGAATGATAAGGGGTAGTTTTGAGGTGTTTTTTTTATGGTTTAGTCTAATTTGGTGGATAGGGTAGCTTTAATGTACCAAAAGATATTTTGCTGTTCTTTATGTTAAAACAGAAATTCATCAGCCAGAACACAAAAAATTTACAAGTTTGGAAGTTAAACATGAGAGAGGATAGTAAATCAGCCAGATATAATATCAAATAAGTATCTTAATATCTTGGGACCAATGTAAGATACAAAATTCAAAGATCTATAAACCTAAACATTTTAACTAGTGGGTTTATTACTAAATTTACTTTTTTAAAAAAAAGAAAAATCCATGTTTTTAATTTTATTCACTGAAAGAAATAAAATGCATAAATACTTTTTAAATACCGATTTCCTTTTACATAGTGGGGATAATACGTTATTTTTTCTTAGTTGTACGGGATTCCATAACGATATTTTACCTCAGTTGGTCGTCTTAGAAACAAAAAGAACATACTGAAGTATTTTGTCAACATATGTATAACTACTCCTAACAAAAAAAACTGGTAGCACAACTTATTTGTGATGACATCTGAAATATGCAGACTTACTAGTTTGGCTGCTTGTGCTGTGATGATATCAGGATATTGTATCAGAGCCTGGAATGTGTCTAGAAAACATAAGAAAAACATAGTTTTCTTTCTAGAATAGTTTAAGAATAAATTGGTGCAGTCTTTTTCACATTATACTTAATGAAATGTTTATTTATAAAAAATTTTTTGTTTTGCCCCAGGTTCTATATGTAACTTTTCCAATACATATAAAAACTATGAGGGGATGGAGAGAACAATAACTTAAAGCTGTGTACTTACTGTTCTTGGTAAAGGTAATAATTTTCAGTACTTTTCCAACCCTGGAAAATATCTAGAATGAAAAGTAAACTTAGCAATATTTATTCACAAATATCTTAATAATATACTACAATTTATTTTTAAATAATGTATTACTAGCATTACATTTCCAAACATGCAGTTTTTTTTTAGTTGTTTTAATGGATCCTTTATGATCATAGAAAATTTGATTACTCAATCCAGAAACTTAAATCACAAAACACCTTGAAAAAACTGAAAAATATTGGCTGTTGGAAGCTTAACAATTTAACACAGCTAAGATGTGAACATTTTGAACATAAAAAATATTCTCTGATAAAAGCTGATTGTGAGAGTAAAGTTACTAGCAAGGAAAGCTGAATGTAAAAGTAAAGATTCTAGCAAGGAAAGCTGATTGTGAGAGTAAAGTTACTAGCAAGGAAAGCTGAATGTAAAAGTAAAGATTCTAGCAAGGAAAGCTGATTGTGAGAGTAAAGTTACTAGCAAGGAAAACTGAATGTAAAAGTAAAGATTCTAGCAAGGAAAGCTGATTGTGAGAGTAAAGTTACTAGCAAGGAAAACTGA